AATTTAATTAGTAAGGGAGACGAGATCAAAATTGCAAGCCGGTAGATCGCTCGCTTAGCGCCTACAAGTGAAAAAGGCAAGTGGCATCCCGTGTCCTGCGCATCAACACGGCTGCGAAGTCGAATTACTACGTTGTGATGCATGCTTTGACATCCGTCGTGCAACTCACACCCCGGTCCATCAGTTCTGGGTACTGTCAGTTAGTCTGACATCGCTGTGCGAACACAGTCCTTCTTCACTGAAAGTAACGACGGCTACGAGTTCCGCTGCACAAGCTTCGATTCCTTCAGCTAACCATGAAAACCCAGGTTTCGAGATGTTCCCGGAAAAGTCCCAGAAATTGAAATTGGCTAAATACAGCTGCAAATTAACGGTTGACCCAAAGGTTTGGCTTGGAATCGGGAAAAGTTCTTTTGATGCACTTACAAGCAGTCGCCCTACCGATGTTGCGAAAGGATGATGCCACTCAACATTTTACTTTCTGATCACTTCTTTTGACTTAAAGACACTTACCGCGATAAAGTGTTCGGGTAATTGGTGCCCAGTAACGAAGCAGTGGCCCATTTGTAACCCCCCAGTGGAAAAAAACCTCGCGAACACCCGGAACACGGACCTCCCTTTAGCAGTGGGGGCGGGGCCTGGACGAGTGTGCCGGACGTGGCTGCCAGAAATCGATGCGGCAGCCGCAATTGCGTCCCGACTTTCGAAATAGGATACTTTAAAGGGACGGAAGCAGCTCGGGACCGGACGCCTCGTCCACCTACCGTGTCAGCGAGCCTAGCGAGCCTTGTGGAAATCGCTATAACTTCCTCATCGCGCCATATTGAGGGATGAAAGTGCTATCATCTTCGTCAAGGCGTAGAGGGTTCCAAACAGCACGAATTCATTTTGAGGACCACTTTATCGCGGTAAGTGTCTTTAATGTCGCCATTGCTACAGTTTCCTCGTTTTTACGTGATATCAGAAAGAATAGAACTGTAGGCCCCCGAAAAAGGCGAACGGTAGCAATAAAGAAGCAGTGATATTCGAAGTACCAAAACGCACGAAATTTAGGCCGGAGTAGCCCGTTCGTCCAGGATGTGAACGAGAGTCCTTCAGGATCAGAGTCCTTCAAAAAAGAGCTCCGACACCATACACTACCTTCCGGCAAAAAAAACTAAGATATCACATTATTGCAAACTCGATCCTTTCAAGTCGTGCATGAAAACAACAACGTTTTTTCACATCTCAGCTGTCCGAAAGATGTTGTTTGGCTTCTCTTGAGAAAGTTCTAAATTCACCTTAGGTGGGTAACGGAAAATTGGAAAATGGAAACGAAAGGCTTCACCGTTGTTCAAGAAATAGCCGCGAAGTTCACGTCGTTAGTTCACGTCTGACAAAAGGGTGCAGGTAATGGCAGTTGCCTACAGCTCCGCGAGAAAAAAAAAACAATTCACATGCAACGAAGCTCCTAGATGACTCCTACAACAATCGTCCTCCTACACTGCAGATAGAATCCCACCTACAATCCCTGTTAGAGATCTTGGGTTTCTTTAGTTGATTAGTTTTCAGAGCGTATTGATAGTAGGGTCCAAACGGCTCTCTTACGCACATGCCATATTTCAAAACATATCAGTGAGCATGCCACAAGCATTTTTGCACGTCTTCGAGGCCTAAGTTCCACCGTTGGTGGATGCTAGCACTGCGGTATCCAACTCTAGAGAAAAAAGACGTCTGCGCACTTGTGAAGGTACACAATGCATCAAGCAGGAACGAGTACCTGTGACACTCCTCTCCACAATCGAGAAGCTACGTCTCTGATTCTTTTTCGTTTCCAAACTTGTTGAAGTCTTCTGTGGGTCAGATACCGTGGATAGGCATGACAGCAAGCATCAAATTACAGGGAGTTCTTACCTTTTTGCCATATTTAGTCTTTGCAATACGTGCGAAGTCTTGGGTTTGAATGGGCTGTAATTTAGTGTGCTATTCACTTACACCAGACATCTAGGAGAATCTTCATTTCTTTGCTACCGGCTTCGTTTTCCGCCAGACAAACCCATAATCCGGCATGTTCCACTCGGGAGTCAATTATTTTCAGCATTCGTCCATCATTCGAGATTTGGATCACATCACTTTCTGGAAA